ATCTCTGCCGTGAGCGTGGGGATGGCCCAGGGATGCCCCCTCTGAAGCTGAATTATTCCGGGATTTCCCATCGCTGTGATAAATCCACCCCGTATCTGTCCCAAACGTCTTCTCTCCGGTGGCTACCGTGACGTGGGGGGTTACAACGCGGCAGCGCGAGAAGGATTCATCACTTATTTATTTTTTAATCTTCTCTCAGAGAAGGATTTTTTCTTTTTTTCCCCTCCGAGGACGGTAGCGACCCGACCCGCTTCGGAGCCAGACGGAGCCGAGGGGATGGAGCGGTGGGACGGAGAGCGGGAAGGCGATCCCCGACCATGGGAGGAACCGGAGACCCCAGGAGACCCTCGCAGAGGTGGGAGCTGCACCCCAGGGTCCCATCCAGATGTTTTTTGGTTTTCCCCCTTTTTGCTCAGAAGTGATATTGTTACTTACTTCTAACCCAGCAGGACATGGGACAGAGAGGAGGAATGAGACGAGTCCTCGGCAGGAACACCTGGAAAGGAGCAGCTCATCATCCGTAAATTCAGAAGGAAATTTTTCTGGGAGTTTTCGGCAGAGAAAAGAGCGTGGAAATGCCCACGGGATGCCAGGGAAGGACGCGAGCACCTCTGTGCATCACGAAGGAATATGCCGAGTCCTCAAGGACCCCCCCGCCGCGTACAAAGCCCTCGCCCGAGAAAAGAGATATATATGCACCGAGTGCGGGAAAAGCTTCAGGCAGAGCTCAAATCTCATCGCGCACCGAAGGACGCACACCGGAGAGAAACCTTACAAATGCGGCGGGTGCGAGAAGTTCTTCAGCGACAGATCCAACCTGGCGAAGCATCAGCGGCTGCATGCCGAGAAAAAGCCCTCGCCGTGCCGCGAGTGCAAGAAAAACTTCGGGAACGACCTGGATTTTCTCGAGCATCAGCGAACGCACGCCGGGGACCGAGCGTTTCGATGTTACCGGTGCGGGAAGAAGTTTGGGCAGAGTGGGAAGCTCGCTCTGCACCAGGAATTGCACGCGAGGGAAAAAATCTACAAGTGCCCCCGGTGCGAGAAATGGTTTAAAGACCGGCCGACCCTCCTCAGGCACGAGATGCTGCACACGGGGGAGAAGCCCTACAAGTGTCACCAGTGCGAGAAGAGATTCACCCGCAAGTCGGACCTTACGGTCCACCAGAGAATCCACACCGGGGAGAAACCTTTCGCTTGCTCCGAGTGCGGGAAAAGCTTCAACCATCGGTCGAACCTTTTTGCCCATCAGAGGAGGCACACGGGCGAGAAACCCTTCCCGTGCCAAGAATGCGGGAAAAACTTTGGCCACAGGGCAGATCTGGTGGTCCACCAAAGGACCCACACCGGGGAAAAGCCCTACCGCTGCTCCGAGTGCGGGAAATGCTTCAAGGGTCGCTCCACGCTCGTGAGACACGAGAGGTTGCACACGGGGGAGAGACCGTACCGGTGTCCCGAGTGCGGGAAAAGTTTCGGGTTGAGCGGGGACCTCGTTGCCCACCAGCGTTTCCATACGGGGGAAAAACCCTACAAGTGCCGCGAGTGCGGGAAAGCCTTCAGCAACGGCTCCAGCCTCCTTAGGCATCAACGACAGCACGCGGGCGAGAAGCCCTACAAGTGCCACGAGTGCGGGAGGAGCTTCGGGCAGAGCACGGATCTCATCGCCCATCGGCGAACCCACACCGGGGAGAAGCCCTACCCTTGCCCGGTCTGCGGGAAGAGGTTCGGTAGGAAATCCAACCTTGTGGTGCACCAGCGAGTGCACGGAGCGGGCGCGTTCTCCAAACGCCGGCAGCGTGGGAACAACTTCCCGGAGAATTCGGCTCTTTCAGTCCATCACGACGTCTTGGTGGAGGACAACGCTGCCCTGTCCTCGGCCCCGCTTAACGTTGGCGGTGACACAGAGGAGAAAAACCATTAAATTCCTGGGCAGGGAAAAAAAGAGACAGGATGGAAAAAAAGCTCAAGGCCTTCCTAGATCTAGAAGGAAAAAGCACGGAAGAAACCACCGCGGGTACATGGAAGATGCAGGATCTTTGCGTTTCGTGTTGGAGTCAGCAAGGACGGGGTGGGGGCAGGCGGGAAAAAATACCTGTATATATGTGTTTTAAAGTAAAACTTGAACCTATTTCCTAAATAACGTGTATTTTTGCGAGCACACGGAGCGGGCTTACCATTCGCTGCGTGGCTCTCGTGCATCCCAATTCCGATGGTCCTTTCCGTCACAGAAACGCGGTCCCCAGGCATCGCCTTTGCCTTCTTTTCCCCGCCCTCGGCTCAGCTCTAAGCTGATCCTCTCCCCTTGTCACTGTCAGACTCTCCCGTCGTTATCTCACCGTGGTCCTCGGGGAAGCGGGGTAGGGTGCATTGCCCAGATGACCCACGCATCCAGCAGAAATAATTCCCCTCCCGCGGGTTAAGATGCCGTGATGTGACGGACAGCCAGGGTATGTTAAATTATTCCAAGACCTCTGATGATCCTCTCGCCTCCATCCCAGTCTTCTGGAAGCCACCCAAGCTCTGTAGGATGGACGGAATTGACACAGAAGCGTAGATTACAGACTGACGACCCCTTTGCCCACCGTACACGGTCTGGGGATGTTGGCGGCCTCAGCGTGACGTTGTTGGCGTGGCAC